ATAAAATGGTCGCTGTTTAAGCCGCCATCTTGAATTTTAAAATTTCAACCTCAGACCTATGTAGCCCATCTATTGGCGCATCCAACGCAGTTTTTATTATTTTCCTAGCGGCTATAATGACTGCGCTAGAGTCCAAAACGTGAATAGTGGGCATTGAACTTTCAAACCGCCGTAGCTGCCGGGGTTGCCAGATGTAGGCGATGAAAACAGTCAAATGTGATTTCGGGATGCGCCCTCCATCGTCGGATACCAATTTTCAAGTTCTAAAATTGTTCCTTTGACATTTACAGTTTTTGGGGTAAATCTCAAAAACTACCCTAAAATCGGGTAATTTTTTTCCACCACATGAAAGTGTCTATAGAGATACACAATAGCTCCATATATGCCAAATACCTGCGGGGTTGCCAAGTCGGTCAAAATCGAGGTTGAATTTCAAAGGTTGTTTGCTCTCAGTGTTGCCAGTCGATCGTTCTATTTTTTCCATCGGGTATCTTGAAAAGTTAAAATTAAAATATTTGCATCAAAAAAGTTCAAAATTTCGACAAAATTTGTTTCCTCAAAAATCTCATAAAGTATCAAAAATTTACGAGATTTTTTTTCACCTGGCAACACTTTAGTTACTTGCCTAAAAATTATTTCCCCGGAAGTACTCTGACAAATGTCGCCAAGTGCGTCAAAATCGGCTCGACGTGGTGACGATACCCAATTTTTCGGATAAAATGGCCGCTGGTTTGGCCGCCATCTTGAATTTTGAAAATCCGGCTCCGTACCGGTGTGGCCAACTCGATAGCGCATCCGATGCACTTTTTACCATTTTCCTAGTGGCAATACTGACTGCGCTAAAGTCGATAAAGTAAAAAATGGGCGAAATTTTTCAAATCGCCGCTCCTACCAGGGTTGCCAGGTGACGACGATGAAAATGGTCAAATGTCATTTCGGGGAGTGCCCTCCGTCGAGGAAAAGCATTTTTGAATTTCCCAAACGGCTCCTTCTACTTTTCACCTTTTTGGGGTAAATCTCCGAAATTACCCTAAAATCGGGGAAAATTTTCAGGTCATTCGAAAGAGCCAGCGGAGTCTCACGACCAGTCCATACCAGGCGAAGAGCTACAATGTTGCCATGTGTGCTAAAAGTGCGTTTGAATTTTTCGAAAAAGTGAAAAAATCACAAAATGGGCGCTGCCGGCGCCGCCATATTGATTTTGCCGAGTTTCATAATTTTTCCATAGTCACGACTATATCAGGCAAGGGACCTCATTCACAGATTTTCTCCGCTGGCCACCCAGGTTCCCAAACAATTCGGGTTATGAGGGCATGTCGAAAAACACGTTTTCTACCGTGGAGCCCAGGGTTGTCAGCTCGCAGAAACGAAAACTACCAAAAGTATAGGGCTCCCCCGGCACCACACGGCACCGAGTCTGTTTTCCGCGAAAAGTGCGTATTTCGAAATTTCACTTTTCTCCCAAAATCTCCTAAACTACCACGAAAATGGTAGAAATTAGTACTAATGTGGAAAGATCCTACTAAGCCCCACGACCGCCCCATACGACGTGAATCCGTCCGATGCCGCCATCTTGGAGAAAATCTCACTGGAAAATGGCGATTTTTCATTGCCGAAACAAAATGGCCGCCCCCGCCGCCGCCATGTTGACGCGCAAATGAAAACTCCCCTTACGTAAAAATCGACTATAATTCCGAGTCGCCGGTGTAAAAAGCCCCCCTCCAAACCCACAGAAAAACAATTGACGATTGCCCGAACAGAGGTCGAAAAATGCCAAATTTCCAGGTGAAATATCTCGGCCGCCATTTTGTTTTTTTAATCAAACCTTTTTCCAGTGTCATTTTTTTAGCCCACTCTACGACCATTTTGAATATCGTAACCGTAGAGTGAATAATTTAGAAATTAAAAAAAAGATCTCGCCGCCATTTTGTTTTTTGGCTGTATCGATATGCCATTTCAACTCGAATTAAAAAAATATTGTCACTCTCCATACATGAAAATGACATTTTCCCACTCCTTCTAACCGAAAAAGGCATGGAGTGAGTGAGTGAGTCAGTCAGTGAGTGGTAATTAAGCTTTATATATTATAGATACACTGTACATTATTACAATTAACACATATTTACCGATTCTAAATCAGATGCGCATCAATTCAAACCAACACTGTTTCAAATCATGTGTCATATGCAGTTGCGTAATATTATTATTACCAATGGCCTCTAGTAACTTCTTGCGACTAAACATACACATTATGTAACTCAGAAATTACGTATATAAATATAAAACTCAAAAACTCAAAATTCTAACACTTTTAACAAAAAATAATCTATCCTTACAATTAAATACTCTTTATATTATTTTCTAACATTGTGGTCCATAAACTGACGGGGTTAATGTGTAAGGATTGTTTTGTTTAAATTACGTTTTATTTAAGATCTCTTTATCTGAATAGTTTTATAGAATTATTACAAATAGCTTTTATAATTGCTTTAGACGATTATATTTATGGTCGCAAAGGTTGCCAATTTAATGGTTAAACCAAGTTGTAGTGAACGTCACATTTGTCGAAATGCTAGTTTACAACCGTCTGGAACACACTTTAGACCTCACATATTTACGCATCGAACTAGGTATTTTGATTTCAATTATGGTCAGTTGTCACATTTAAAGAACCTCCTAGGTTGCAAACAAGTGTTCCAACCAAGATGTTAACAAAGAGATGAGAGAAACTTATTTATTATAAGTACAATAATTATTTGTCTTCCATTGAATATTTTCTCATTATCTACTAGATGACCCGGTGTCCGATGACTAGATGACCTTCCACAGTTTAAACCTCCCCTGGACTACGACAAATATTTCAAAGCCAAACGAAAGTAGCATAAGTAAAAATAAATCTAAATCCGACAAAAAATTGCAAAAACGTTATACTCGACATTTGCATCCGGCGCCACGTATACGTACATTAGAGGTATATAGTTTTTTTGTAGCCTTTTATACAATGGATCATATTATTAAAGAATATAAAAATATGGTATCGTTTATGTGGTTTTTTATGTGTTCTTGTATATAGGTGAGTAGAAAAACACATCTTAATATGGGTATCATCAATTATTATTTCATTTTATGATGATGCTCGGAGACAAATACTTATGTAGGTAGGCTTAATTTCTGGAAACCTAGGTGATTTCAAAAGTATTGGGTTCTATTAAAACTGAAAACAATTTATTCATAAAAACAAAAGACACATTAAAACTAATAAATTATTTGTATCAGTTTTTCCTTGTAACTACTTTTTGTTTGTTTTATTTAAGTAATTTTACTGAAAGTATAATATTTTTTTGTAATAACTTACTTCCAAACAAACAAAACCTACCTAAAAGCTAAGAATTGGTGGGACTCGCGGACGGAGGGTTCCGCACAAAATACAGATTCTTGTTATTCCTAGATCATGATTTGAGGTTTAGGTTCGGAGAGATTGGAAGGAAGGTCAACTTCCAACATATGCACAATATAGTTTACGAAACTTTTTTATTTTAAAATATACGTCTTAAATTCGGTCTCCATTTTTTAAATTATTTAATTTACGTTAGGCGATCACCTTAGGATCACCAACTTACATAATTATGTATAACAGACGGACAAATAAGTAATAAATAATATATTTGATTAATTTTACATTAACAATACTATACTGAAAAATATTTTTAATGACAAATGCTAAAAAAACATTTTTCTCTGGTATTCTCAGAGTACAAATAACAACAGGGACAACTGGATTTTTTGAGCATGATTCATTAAGAATATAAGACAAAAATAACATCACATACATTCTTCCATTCCCAAATAAAGTAGCTAAAGCACTGGCATTATGGAAATCGGAAACAATGAAGGTAACAGACCACCGAGACTACCTACTCGACCGGGAATGGCCCCGGGACCTCAAAAATGACGAAACCTTTTAACCGGCTTGCAAACCACTCGGTTGTCAAATAGAAAAAGATAGACCGACAATCGAGATTCTATACAGGTTCCGTTTCACCATTTTTAGTTTGGAAGCCTAAAAAACAATAAGCAAAAATTCATATCATTTTACATTTTTCAAGTTAGCTGCTTAAACCCTTTTCTGTGAATATATTTGCATTTTTATTAATCAAAACTATTACGAAAATTGATATTGTTACGTTACTATGCAAACTTTTTCCCACTGATCTATGGAGATCTTTTGCAAACGTATGTCAACAGATGGCAATGATATAAACCTTTCGAATGTATTGTGTTTTCACTCACGTAGCATTACCTAATCTTGGTTGCTAACGTTATGATGGAATTTAATATGATAATTACTAAATAAAATAACTGTTTACCTGTTATAAAAATGGCTCAGTACATTTTACACAAACATTCGCAGGAACCAAAGACGTGGATCTACATTGACTACGGATCTGAACTTCAATTGGTCATAAAAAGTATTCAATAACTACTTTACACTTGCTATATTATTTATGTTATCCTAATAATTAATAATACATCGTTTAAACGATTTAATTTTATTACCAAAAATTAATAAAATAAAATAAATTCCGCGATAACTAACTACACGTGTTATTAAAATCTTTTGTTACAATTTACTTGATATTTAAAACCTAAATCTCTTCTTTATTCCATGAACTAGGTGACCTGGTGTATTTCGTATCAGCACTCACCGTTTTAACCTTCCTGGACTACGACAAACATATCAAAGTCAACCATCAATCAGTCCAGCCGTTCTCGAGTTTTGACGAGACAAACGAACAGCAATTTATAGATACATCTTTCTGTTAAACACAAAATTCATCGACTCCATAACAAAACATAAAGAACTATTTAAAGAAGCTCTATTGATTGAATTGTGTAATACGAGGATTTGATAATTCTGAATGAGCAATTGATTAATGGCCACGTCAAAAGTTGACAAAAAAGCTTGAGGTCTCAAAACACGGTGAAGTGTCTATACGTCACAGCAAACCATCCTCACATGATGTCAGCTTGCAAGATCTGAACACCGGGATATATATAAAATGAACGATGTACATTAGTTACTCATTCGTTAGTTTGTGCTCAACACGAATACTAAGCAACATGCTCAAATACGTGAGTTGTTAATATTTTACATTTTGTTTAATAATACATAAGTAATTGCGTTTAACATAGATGGTTGTTAAATGCGTTAAAGTTGAAATCCGTAATGGCTTACGACCTTTTGGAAAAGTGTGTTGTGTCTTGGTGATGCATCTCCTTACTCGATGCTTTTAGTTACCGTGGACAATGGATAGGTGACCCGTTATATAGTATTACTCCAATTGATTAATATGTTCCTAAATACAAATAGTTATTTAAAAAAAGGTGCTTTATTCTAGCAAAAAGAAAACCTAATTCGAATAGCGTATTTTTGTAACTTACAGTCATTCATTACAGGTTTTAAACCCTTGATAAGTTATTCTAAGACTGACCTTCCCCCTATAACCCCATAAGTTATAGGGTCATAGGGGAAAATATAGAATAAAATTATTCTTAAATGCCGGTCAAGGTTACTGTATGCTTTTTGCGTAGGGTGACCAAACTATTGTCAGGAAAATATTTAACCATAGAAAAATATTATAACCATGAAATATTAATAGGGTAAACTATAAGCGTTAATTTAATTACAAAAAAAAATTATTTCATCCGTAGTTCAACAGTATGACAATTTAATGTTATTTTGACTTTAAGAAACAAATTTACACATTTATAAAATACTGAATTTCGAAATTAATAATTTAACTATTTTCTTACATCTAGGTGGTACTCTTCAGTGTGGTGGCAGCATTATGCGCAGCCGCACCTCAGCAAAACCCACAAGACGTGCAGATCTTGCGCTATGACAGCAACGTTGAACCCGACGGTTACAACTTCGTGTATGTATTGTGAAGTTGCCAATTTTTTTAATAAATACAAAAATATAAATAAATACATAAACTATTTTTGCTATATTACTGCTCAAGTGTACTGTTAATTGTTATTTAACTTTTTATGGCAATTTTTTTATCATTGGTAGGTACTACTTTACTGATTAACTTTTACGTAAATAATAAGCAAAACGAAAAGTTGCGTCATCAGAAATATCCATCCACTCAATGAATCATTTTCTTGCAGATATGAAACCAGCGATGGTACATCTCGTCAAGAGGAAGGCAAACTGGATAACCCACAGTCTGAAAATGCAGCTCTTACTGTAACTGGCCAATATTCTTACGTCGCGCCAGACGGTAAACACTACACTGTGACCTTCACCGCTGGACCCAACGGCTTCCAACCTAAAACATCCCTTGGACAATAAAAGATAATTTTAAAAGAATAATACTTCGCTGTAAATACTCCTTTAAAACGGTGGCTCTTAAAAAGCTGAAATATCTACCACCTTAGACCAGTTAACAAGATCTCAGTCACCCGACACATGGTTACCCGCAGTGTTAGCATGAAGCATCTAGAATGAGAGATAAACGTATCTAAATTCTTGTGCCATAAAAAAATCTTTATACTTTTTTACTTTTACAAAAACACTTGTGACTCGATATAATTGAAATAATAATAAAATAAAATAAACTTAATCTAAATTGCATTGTTTTATTCAAGTTTTCACACTTAAATCATCATGCGCTTATGTAATAATTTTAGTACTTTTGACATCTGTTCTACCTCCGTTGCCGCCTCCGAGTTGACAACTCGTTTTCACGTGTAAATAATGTAGAAAACAATCTCTTAAACATTGTTTCAACTATATTTTAAGCGATAGAACGTAAACTTACTATATTCCGAGCTTGATTTTATATTATATTCATTATTCCAATAAGATTATTACAACGCTTTTGTTTGTCCAACATTTATTTGCTGTTCAGACCAGTGAGCTCACATATGTCATACTTAACAGCAATACCGACATTTAGTTAAACGCATATACATTGCTTGTGACATCGTATTTTAAAATATAAAAGAACCTATAGTAGTAGACATCATGTTCGATCGTACATAAGAATCTAAATATAAACATTACCTTCGAAATAGTAGTTAAAACCTATGTGTATACTTGTAACATGTTTCGTTATACCTCGCTCGTTAGTAAGACAGTCTTAGAAATCTGTACACATTTTTTAGCAATGAACTTGAAATCACGTCGTGATTTGGTAATATAAAACGTTTATTGTATATCATAATTGAATTGTTTATCTGTTATTAAAAATAGTTTTTTCTACTATTTTTAGATTTCTTATTTTGGCTATATATACAAGTACACTTAATAGGAAAACAAATATAAATCGGCGGACGATACTGTTTAGTTGTTATAGTTAAAAAGTATTACGTAAAGTTAAGTTTTTAAGATTTAAAAAAAAATGAAAATAAAAAGGGATAACCGAAAAAAAAGAATTCAAATGTAATGTAAACGAAATAAATAGTGTATTGTCTTATTTGAAAACAACATAACTATGAACAAAACAGTTTTATAACTCGATTATGTTATTATAATTTAAAAAATACAGGCGTATTTTTTAATTAACGTTTATGATGGGCATAACAAATTTATATACCAAAATATTAACTATTGTTATCTAACTTAATAGGAAAATAATTGTTACTATAAATATTTAATAGTAACGTACACGCAAGGACAACCAGTTTAAAATCAGGAACCGAAACGAAATTCGAAGTTGAACTACAACCCCGTAAACTGACATTTATATCTAACAATTATCTCTAACGATATCGGACAAAAACTCTTAAGGCCATAACACACATACGGGTCAGCAGCAAGCAGCATAGCATTGTTTTCATTGATTAGTACTGCAGCAGTTGCCAGTGCGTTAAATATGTGCACCTCGCGAGGCGCAAGCCCGAAGACCGCGAGTCGCTAACTATTGCTATCGACAACGATGAGCCTAGAGCTTTATTTTTGAATCAGACGTCTAACGTCGAGTGCTCGTTTTCTACTGACTTTAGTTCGACATAAAAAATTCGCCATTTCTGATTCGCTCGACTGCAATGAGTGGTATGAACCAATCGTTGATTAGCGAACGCTGTATGCGAGTGATAGAATAAACATCAAATAACAAAATAAAATAAGCAAGTGCGCGCGCTTTATTGGTAATTTATTGGTAATTTCAAGAGTAGCGCGAGCCTAAATGAGCGGGAAAATGTAATTTGCTTGTGCTTATCTAATAGTAATTCTGTTTTTTTATTATTTGAACTTAGCCCTACTACACGATCTAAATCTATTATATGACCCTCTGTAAATTTGAGATTGACCCCCTAGTCTACACCAAACGTCACGTTCAACAAGTTGAAAGTGAGATATGGACGCACCCGAGAAAAGTGACATTTGGGTGTAACAAAACCTTCTCGAGTTCGTCATGCTACTTAACAACTTAAAGTTGACAGCTCCATTAGCTTTTCATATTGTACGAAACACAATGTAATGGTCAAATTAAATGACGAGTCAATCGCTGGGCTGGAGCTGTTCCGTGTAAGTGTGACTTTTGCGGAACGCTATTATTTTCGTCATAGTATCATATCGCAAGTTAAAATATCTCAGTTAAATGTGACATGCCTACTTTAAAAAATATCTAAAAAGATGCATGCATGCAGGTAAACAAACATACTACACACGAATAAAAATAAAATCAATGGTGCACAATTACAATAACACTTATAGACTACGCAACAAGTAAAGCCGTCAAAGTTCCGTCCCGTCCAGTGGAGGTTGCGTAAACCAAAAATTGTCAAGTTCAAAATAAAAATGTAGTTAGATAGAATATTCTTTATTGGACAAACAAAACAAAATACACTTATATATATAATGGAAACAAGAAACGTCCAATTGGCAGCCTTATCACTAAATAACTTGCAAAATGGATTTTAATAATGATGAGGTTGTGGATGGTGTATTTTTAACAATATATAATATTTTCTTAAAAGACACAAATAACTAAAAAATTTTCGTAAAAAAATTCAAAATTAATAAACATAATGTAAAAGTAAAGTTATTGAGTAAACTATAAAATTATATCCACAAAAATGCTCTATAATTCAACGATATTGGATTTCACCTCACCATTACATTCAATTATTCATATCAATAACTTTAATAGTGTAAATTGATGTATTGTAATATGTGATTGACTTTGTTACCGAGGTCTGATATTTAGCGATTTTCCAATAATAATAATATTCGAGTAGTTAACTAAAAAAATATTTTTTAATCTTTTTCAAAAATGTGTCATCATTTGTCTCGCAATGTCTTGCCTCATTTTTTTTTCTTTTTGCGCTATCTTAATAAAACATTAAAACAATAATACAAAACCATCAATGACTATCATAAGGATATATTGACCACAAGTCAATCTGACACATCTAGAATGAACTATTATTTTTCCATTCTAGATTCTAAGTTTCCATTATTATTACATATTTCCGTTTATTTTGTAACACTTCTAACACTGTTCGGTCACATCGCTTTGGAGACATGTTCCACGCCTCCTTCACACATATTTTTTAAGATCTGGGGCGTATACTTCCGTGTACACTAATAATATATATTAAAAAAAAAAACTATATTTTGACAACAAAGAAGAGGAAAGAATGTGACTTAAAATTGCATTAAGTTGTACACTTTACCTTAACACCTACGGATGAGCATTAAAAATTATTGATACTTAAGTAACGTTAGGCCTTTGCTTAGCTCGGAAAACGGCTCAAGTTATTTCGTAAACCTATGTAAATGTCAAAGCACGCAACGTTTCATACACTTGTAAAAACACAAAGAGTCGAGAATACATAGACGTTAATTTCGTATAACCTCTGTGTTTGAGAATAGTAATTAATCATAAAATGTTGATATTTAATTTTAAATTAGCCTTCACTCGTGTGCGCGGGTCATGGGCTCCGCAGATGATTTACCAAAACACAAATAAGTAACAGGTGAAGAATTGCGTTTCAACAATGAAGCTATCGCCCGTGACCTTATGCTTGCGTCGAATTCTAATATAATAAGCAAAAACATTAAAAGCTAAGAATCGTTTTAGACTGAAAAACTGCACAAGTGCGTGTCGGACTCGCGCGCTAAAGGTTCCGTATCAGAAATGAGCAAACGGCAGCCTTAATATTAGATATTCAAAATTTTTAACTCTTTAACAGCCAGTTGCACAATCGCCTATTGTCATTAGTTTAAAGCGACATTACCTGTGAAATTTGACATTCTTTAGAGCTTAAAGACGTCATTAAAATTTAATGGTCGTTTATGCAACTGACCAATAACTATCACAGTTAATGATATATGGCTTGGTTACTGACGGATTGACCGCAAATCTTAGTAATAAAATCCGGTTTTATTTTTTGAGCACGGAACTCTATAAACCGCATAAGTGCCAGTCGAACTCGCCCACCGAGGGTTCCCAACTGATCCCCATAAGTTAAAATTTCACCTTTTGAGGTAAAATGACGTAACTAACTGAACATTTATAAACTTATGTAATAATTCGCCATTATACTAGTACATTGATTGAACAGCGAGTAAGCTATGAATTTACAGAAGTAAAATAATAAAATTTAAAAAAAACATTATAGCTGCAACGTCAATAAAAAGAAAATGACTTACCAACAACAAAAGGTGTTTATAACTTATAGAACCTGTTATTATAAACTTAAGGAACATGTTTTATCTTTATAGAATCAAATGGCTAGCTGGAAAATTTGAAATAAGAGATTCGGGGAAAAAACAGCGTTTCTTATTAAAGCATTCAGAAATATGAGGGAAAAGTCAAAATCAACGGTTTTTTATGAAAAGTTTTTTTTTATAATGTTCATTGAAAGAACAATGTTTTCACATTATAAAAATAAAATAAGAATTATAATTTTCCACATTCTTACTTCTGACTACACAAAAAAATGTAAATATCACACAACTAGAGCTTGAGGTAGCTGAAATTATACCCAATGTAAAGGCGCACAGCACAACCATAATATGTCCGCGCCTTTATGTTGGATATTGTAATTTATTATCACTTTATGAAACATAGCATAAATAATAAAAATCAGACCTACATATGTGAAGTTTTTTATTTAATCTTATTTATAATTATTAAATAAACCTATATATATATATATTAATATTAAAGAAATCCGAAACAACGAAGGTATACCAAAACACCTCCTCCTAAGACAATATAGAAAAGTTCACATTTCTGCATTGACTCGACCGAGAATGGTACAGGGACCTCGAAAATGGCGACACCATGAAATCGGCGTGTAAGTCACACGGCCACAGAATGCAATCATAAAACCCTAATCTTTCAATCTTGTGTTGTATGGCATAGCTATGAGTATAAATATTCTTAAATATGTAGCTATATGTGTATTAATTCGCTGATTGTTTTCGATAAACATTCAATTAAAATATATATGCTAGTTGTTAGTAAGCGTAAGCATGATTGCTGAATGACAGATTTGGCTATATTATTCAATAAGATATTAAGGATAATTTTAGTAAGTCCTTTAACATTCGGAAAAAAATGAAAAAGATTTTCTGCGGGAATTTGATGCCTATTTTTATTATATTACCTTTCACATTTTTTAATTTTCAGCACAATGTTCAATTAAAATTTATAATTATTTCA